GATTGATGATCCCAGATCAAGTGTTCGGTTGCATCCATCTGAAGTGCAGCTTGTACTGGGCCCAGCCTGAACATGACAAGACTGTCTTGTGATATTTTTTAAACCAATGATAGGGAGCAAGCCCTCTTCCATAGAGTCCATCATGTTGCACCACCATGTTTGAGCCCAGAACAGGCAAACACAGCATGGCTCTAAAGAGGAGCCATTCGACTTTTCCATGTTACCTGAAGACCACCATAGGGTCTCCGACAAGCTTGGGCAGGGAGTTGTGAATGGAGGGTTTTTCTGCTGGTTGAAATGATCAACCTCACCACTAGATCCCACTACCTTTTACACACTTTTCTTATACATGTCAGAAGTATGCTAATCTTCTCCTCATGTCCTCATGACCTTGAGTATTCACACAATCCTCTTTGTTGAGTTCTCCCATAGTATGCACATTTGTGATCTAAATAATTACTGCTTGACTACCCATGACAGATCATACCATTCTGCCAGTAACTACACATCCCAGACTCAACTCTTTTGGGCCTGAAAATTATACCCGTGGATAAATAAATTGAGAATGCACAAGCTACAAAGTTCATCCATCCATCCATTTTGCCTGCTAGCACTATGAATTTCAAATATAAAGAAATGACTCTCGCTTTCAAATTGTTTTAAACACTATAACCATCAACAACTACCATCTTCTTTTTCATTTAAAAGCTTGGCTTGTGCAATCCAATAAACTCACATTAGTTCATAAAGACAATGGGTGGAAGATTTGAACTGATTTCACACCACACAGTGCCTGGGGATGCCTTCTAGGATCGTTTACCCTCCTGCTGGATTTAAACTACTCAACAATGTTCTTCATAACATGTTTTAATGCTTTGTCTTGCCGTGTCTGGATGACTATCAATTTCTGCAGTTCCCTTCAACACCAAGGCTCAACATGTTTCCAAAGTCCCTCAGTGGTAGGGACTCCCTTGTCTAATCCAAAATGTGTGATTTGAGTGTCTCTTTAACTGGCTTCTTCATCTCTGGTGGCCAGTTACTGTGTTTATAGATTTTACCAGCAAAGTCGGTAAACCCAGTTCTGACACTTATCTGTGATGAGTGCCACATTTTACCAATAAATACTACACTGTTATGGCAGTACAATTTATTATTCTTACACTCTCTTCGAATGATGAACCTGCACTCTGAGGCCGATATAGAGTGTCCATGAAGCTCAGTACATTCTTCAGCATAGCAACTACAGTACATTGATCTACTAACCATCATGGTAGCCGTTCAACACAAAAAGTACCACTTTTTTTTCTATATTCAGAAAATCGACAAACTGTCACCAGTGGAAATGAACTATGATACACTAAAATGCAATACATAAAAGTGTTTCAATTAAACTGGTTGTAGAGTAATAACTGTGACAGAAGTACTTAACAGCCTTGATAAAGACTGTGACCGTGACTAGTCACATTTATATCTCCATTTGTCTTTGCCTCTTGTGTCTGGTTTTATATTCTCAAACTGTGCTTTATCAATGGTTCTGTGAGTTCCAGCAGAGAGACACTTAGACAATGTAACGGCTCTGCGTTAGCTGCTAGGCAGCCATTATATACATGCACAACACATATGTATCACTTTAAGGAGATAATTGGCTGTGAAAACCTTGGAGACAGGGCATAACAAATTAACCATGAGAATGGAATGACTTTCATAGCATTGTTTGATAACCTTTGCAGGCTACACATAAATTAAACACGTTGCAAATTAAGTGATGTATTTATATATAGTAGTCGAAGAAGTGTTCTCTCACATACCCATTGGCTGGAACTGGCAAAATAGTTGAAAGCAATAGCCAAAAGTCGAGAACATTTGCAGTAAGTAAAGAACTCTTTCCAAATGAGGAGCTCAAACTAATGTGATGTGAGCTGCAAATATGTGAAACACAGCTAATAGTATTATAGGCAGATTATTTTCATTGGGAATATATTGAAAACATGTTCTGTTCTACAAGGAAAACAACAATTACATATATTATTATTATATACAATTTGAAGTGCTTTTAGTGTTACATCTCTTTTGCAGTGAAGTGTCTGCAAAGCACGAGCTAAGGGGGCATTGGATTCAGCCTCTCTACTGTAGCTTAACTGAAGGGTTAAGCTACAGTATATTTTGTTGACCAAAATGCAGGCTTTGTATTTTGTAAACAAGGCTTAAAGCTGGCCCCGACCAAAGCAAACTCAAGGGACAATTTGTATTCCTTCTGCTCTGCCACAGGGATTTATAGGTTTATAAGAGTGTGTGTAAACACGCTTAAAGTTATTAAGAAGAATGTCATTTTAGATAATCTAGTAATCTCTCCAATTTATTTTGAATGATAAAAACAATAATTGGTTAGATTATTTAAAAAAAAGCTATCTTCATCTTAACAACAAATAAGACATTGAAGTGAGATGTGTTTTGAGAACGATACACTTAATATATTGCAAAGGAATTACAAGTATTTTTAGATAGTTGCAATTTAGTTCAATATACCCAAAGTGTATTTCACTTCAATTTTAGGCTGTAATTACTTCTGTGCAATACACATTGGAAATACTTTATATGGAGATAAAAATAGTGTTTTCAGTGTTTCAATTCAGATATTAAAAGAAAATGACCTAAATTGATGTATGAATATAACAACCTGGCCCAATCAGTTGTGCTTTGACAATCTGTGATTCTGATTATACGAGATTTTGTTTCTTATTCACTTCCCATTGGTTGATATTACATCAGGAATCACAATCATTGCTACCTACAATATAAATTCAACAGGAATTCAACATCATATTCCAGAAAATGTAATCCTTGCTAAGTAGTTTGTTGACTGAGAGAAGTGAGACGAGGAGTCTCAATCTCGCTATTCCAACTGTGTTGATTTCCTAAACTGAGAAATGTTAACTAAAATCCACCAAAAACTAAATCCTAGAACGCGGCTTGCCTTGAAAACCTGCAGTGCATGTATTGCATTGACAGGGAAAAGGTACATTAAAAAGTAGCAACTGTCAATCAGGCAATTTATTTTTGCTATGTGGACATGTTAATGTGCATAATTAAATAATCAGCTTATGCCAGCTGCAACACTTGGCTTCAGCTCCTCTCTTGAACATCTTGAAAAGGATTCTGATTGGTTCTCCCTCTGTGTAAGAATATCTGTGCCTTGGACGGCCCCCAAACAGGACCGGCTATAGATTTGACACTGCTTTGTTCACAAAACGTTCTATTCTCTCAGGTTTTAGAAAATGTTCTAAACATGTTTAAAGCTTAGTGGTGTATGTAAGTAGTGTTAAAACTCTGTAAAACATATTAAAGGTCCCCTATTATACGGTTTTTCATCAATATGGTATAGGTCTCAGATATATGAAAAGCGTTCAGAATCTCTTAATGCAGAGGGGACACATATTTCTGTATAAAAGACATGGAAAAGTGGATTTTGCACAATAGGTGACCTTTAAGTAGTTAGAGTATTTACAGAGAGAATCCATCATCTCATGACTCAGCTGTTTGCTACTGAAATAAACTGTCTATGAATCAAGAAATCCAGTCTGATGTCTGTAAATAGTTTCCCATTTCTTTCAGTGCTCACCAGAGTAGTTGTCTTGATTAATAGGAATACTTAATTTGCCATTAAGGCTGATTCATTCTATTAATCTGTTGTTTCGAAGTCATTCAATAATGTCACTGAGAATCACTTATTTTCCATGGCAACGGGTATGAAGAAGACACTGATTGTTGGCGTTTAACAAATGTATATAGGACGAGTGCCAAATATAAAGAAGTGTTCAGCTCTGGCAGCTTTATCAATACAAATGTAAAACAGCCCTTAACAGTTTATAATTATCAATGTCTACATTTCCAAAGTCAGATATTGTATATTGTGCACGGAAATAGTCCTTGGCAGTGGAAGCCATTGATTTTCTCACCGTGTCTGTATAGCATCTTCCCTTTCCTGCCGGCACAGCATGTAATATGAGACCACAAGTTTTCCTTTACCCACAGCAATCAATTTTGCTTAGCCCAGCTCCCTCGCCTGGATGGGGCCTGCCTGAGTACATGTCTCCTACCACACACAGCTCTGTATACCCTCACCCTGGGCAACAATCTTTCAGCCTAATATAAAACAGATCTGACTCAAGACCAGGCCAATCGAATAACAGCCAGACAAGTCAGCGTGACTTTAGAGCTCTAACTGTGTCACCGCCAGGGAGGCAGTAAGCATGGAACGAGTGCAGCAGAGAGGCCTCTGATCTTCAATTCCCTGAGAAAATGATCCACATCACAATTACTTTTATGCTATCTGTTTTGCAGCTTGAAGTCAGATGTGGTTTCTTACTCTAAAAGCAAAGAGCCTATACTGCCTTTTATCTTAAAAACAAAAAAAATGCAATACGTGAGGTCATTCTGGGCATGATTGAGTCTGAATGATATGCGTCTTAACTCCCTATGTCTGGATCAATCGCTCATATTGTTAAGCAGAAAGAATGGGGTGTAAGCGTTCACTTAGAGACGTGTCTTGTCCCTTTCAGGAGACATTTTCAGCCATCAGCTACAGTAATGAAAACAAATGGATTGGCTGTTTTCATAGAGAAAGAAAACCTGGGCTGCAGCCAAAGATTATAGGGGTAACTCTTCAAAGAGAGCCAATGTAGGTGTTGGATTCAAATGGGCTGGCTTAAGGAAAAAAGGAAATGAATATCTATTAATGACTGTTTCTAAGAAAATTACTGAGAGGTTGTATTTTCAAATATAATTCCTTTTCACATCTCACACTGTACCGTACACATCAAGGAAGTCTAACTTTGTCATGTATTACCATGAACACACCATCGATTACGATGCCAGAGAGGTAAGAGCTGGTATTGAGCAGAGTGAAAACCAGCTATTTGCAAGAAAATAGCTGTCAGTTCATTTCCCTGCTTAGCGCTAGATCAAATCGCTGTAGTAACTTTAGCAGAGTTAACATCTAGCTACAGATATCTTCTTACCTGTAGCCACTGTGATTGGTCACTGTGTCCAGCTGTCCAAGCATTGACCTTGCCCTGTTTGTCCAACCGGGCCTTGCCAGGCTCCCAGGTGAACATGTCCATGTTGAGCGTCCTGAAGATGCTGGAGGCCGTGACTTGGTAGTCCTGGACATGACCTGACTTCAGACCAAGTGGTTCAGAGCAGCCTGGCAACAACAACACATTTGTTATAATCATCCTGACCGCATGAATTTCCTTACCTCCAAAAAAAGGAGTATATTTTCATTACTGTTTCCACATAGAAAATGCAGCATGGCAAAATTATGCAGGAGGCATAGTGCAGTGGATTTTCAGATAATTTCATAATGAATTCAGAATTTGTGTGAAACGTTGAATCTCACCCACCTGTTAGCTCACAACCCAGCAGCTCCATGCGAAGGGTGCAGTGCCTCCTGCAGACTTGGGGGTAAATGCGCACGTACTGGGCTTCAATGGGAGGGGTGAAGGAGTTGGCTGATGGAGCGGTGTTATCGACATTTCCTCTGAAAATCTGTTGCAGGGGATGAAATAACAGCAGATGGGGGCGGGGAGGATGGTATAACAGATCAGTTTTGCTGTAATTTAGTCTATCTGGCGCTGTCTCTAGTGTCTACTCCACACTCAACAAATTGCTGTCTTTCAAGGTCAATGAGCTGGAATTACATGAGAAAATAGACAATTTCCCGCACCATTTGAGCCCATAATTCATAAGAACAGTGGTGTGTTTTAAATTAGAGCTCCAATTATATCGCTATACCTTCTGGAGAGTTGTATCCAGATGACCTGACAGAAACTCTGTGATTTGAGTGACTGATGTACTGCATGTGTGAAGCGCAGAGAGGGCGAGAGAGAGAGAGAGAGAGAGAGAGAGAGAGAGAGAGAGAGAGAGAGAGAGAGAGAAAGCACGGGAGAGACAGAGCGGTGTGTTTTCATGTGATACAGAAAATAGGAGCTGTCACTGGGTGGCAGCAGGTCAATGTGAACAAAACCCCCCAACTTATTTTTGGTCAAGGATCAGGGCCTCTAACTACACACTCACAGGTCCTTCTGTGCAGGTATTTATCTCAGTCTGCTTATATTTGTAAAACATCCACCTCAACAAAAGAAAGTCACTCAAGCATTCACATTGTTTCTTTCTGTACGCCATATTTTGAGCGAATAAAAGCTATATAAGAAAAGCACAAGACTGAGATCCCAGGATGTTCAAGTAGACTCATTGTTCCGTGTAATACATTTGAAGGAAGTTTGGAAGTCGGGGTCATTCGGAGCTCCGCCAAATGGGAGACAGCCGTGGTTTGCTGTCAGGAATGATAGAACGCTGTGTGGCCTATTTGGTGGCTGTTTCATCCCCAAATAGTATAAAAATTCAATCTAGAAGTCATAAAAGTGGAGGGGGGTAAGGGACAGCAGGATGGGCCCGGTGTGTGCTAGCTAATTAAAAAGCCATCTCATCATGTCCTCCACCCTGCCCTTGACTGAGTGCACAGTCTCTTGTCGCTGTGTGTGAACGTGCGCGAGTGTGTGCATGTGTGTACCTTCGCCTGTGTATTACACAGTGAGAGGCTAAAGAGAAAGAGTGGAGAGAAGACAATGGGTGTGTATGTGTTGTGTTCGTGGGTCCTCGTGTGTGTCTTACCATATCATCATCTTTGCCCTTGACTTTGTATGTTCTCCAGCTCTTCCCATCATCACTGTAGGCTACTTTGTAAGACTTGACGTACTCTGCGCTTCCGATACGCTTTGCACCCTGGGTAATAAGGCCTGTGACCCTCATTCTCCTCTGCAGGTTTATCTGTGGAGTAAAAAGAAGACAACATCGAGAAGTTATTGCTTCATTTCCAGACAGTTTGAATGAGTGCGTCTTTGTCTATGCGTGTGCACGAGCAGTGTGCCCACGCAAGTCATGGGAATCAAGTACCCCCCTTTGTATCTTTTCTGTCAGGGCCATCCATCTTATTCAGAAAGTCTGTGATCGAATGGAACATTTAATCAATCCTCACGCTCTAGATCCAGTCTGTCAACCCTGTGCAGACTGTCAATACGGTACCAATGACAAGCGGCTTGGAGAGCCAAGAGGAAAGGAAAGAGTAAGAAACAGCAAAGTGATGAATGTGTGTGTGCTCAGTGCACACAAAGCAGGATCATTATTATCTCAGGACAATAGATGTGTTAAACAACAGTTTAGGGTTTGCTTTGACATGTTTCTCACTTTGATAGAGTCCATTCCAACAACACTGCCATTCCACATATTTTCCTATAATATATAAGGGTTAAAGTTATGATATGTATTGTAATTAATGTTCAAATGTTTAAGGTCAAGGGGATTTTCGAACATGTCAAACCATGCCTGTTTGATTGATAGGAGTCTCAGCCTATCACACTCATGCAGTTGTTTGGCGCTGCCTTATCTCCATCCATTCTCACATGTCGTTGCCCAGAATTGAATAATCCACTTCCAGTTACAGGATGGGCCGCCTGAGAGACCTACATTATAAGTGATGTGACACATGCCTCATATGTTTTTCTACAGTTTATGTAATGAACCTGTCGTTGCTGGTTGACTACTAAAGGGCCTGTAGTTTGGTAAAGCAATTAAAAAAAAAGTCTAAAGAGGTGTTTTTGTTATTTTTCTTTTCACATGGCTTGTGTCATATAAAGAAGCTTGTGGTGGCAAAGAAGTGGTGCTGTGTTCAAGTCACACATTGTACTTACAGTCACTTACACACGCAATGCAATTTATTTTTATACACTCAATATTATTAATGATCATAAAGTAGGGCAGGATAACACATGCATCACAGCATGATTACATTAGTTAGAGACAAATTAGATCAAGCAAATAAAGCAGTGATAGTAATTATTCATTAAACAGTTTGGCACTACATTCACAACAAACTGCTTCATTTTCAGGAAAAAAGAGAGAGCCACTTTGACTCATCACCCTCTGACAATATATACAACACTGTGTTCTACTGTTTCATGGCTACAGCCCAAAAGTAAAGTAATAAAGGACCACAAACCTGAAATGGCCAAACCTGAGGAAAGAAATGTAGACTCAAAGAGAATTTGAATAACTAGCTTGAAGTAGAGCAGTACAGCTCAAGGTCAAGTCATTTTAAGATAAGAACATTAACTATTTTAAAGCTTATCCAAAATAAATTGCAGTCTCTTTTCACTGATACTGTGATCCACATTCAGGTATTTCTATGGCTTGAGTTCACTTTCTGGTTCAGGAATATTAGCATTATTTTTGAATCAAGGCAATTTACAAGTGAGTCAATATCTATTTATATTTAGAGTAAAATCTCAAGCACATAGTCTGAGCCCACGAGTTATAGTCTGCGTGTCCAAAAAAAACACCTGTGTCTCCTGAGCAGATTAATGGTTAGAGTACTGGCTATTACAGATCCAGCATAAGAAAGAGCTGTTTATCTTCAAAAAGCATGTTTTTACTGTCAAAACCCAATGGAGAAATGCATAATAATTATTTGTCAGTGTTGATATCCTTTCTAATTTACATATGTAGAGACAAGCCTCAATTACGCAGATTTTTTGACTTACTTAAGCCGATGTATTAAGTTAATTATACATAAGGACGCCTCTTAGAGACTCAGAGCTGCTACGACCCACTGTTTCTCATTCACAGCATTTCTTCGCTCCCCACCGTTTTCTCCATAGAGATAGATACTTCTTGCACTAATTAGAAGGCCTGTCACTAAAAGGCCACGGCCGGGGTAATTGGGGTGATTCTTCACATTTTTAATGACCACTCAGAAACATACGTCCGTCACCTCAGCGCTAATAGTGATGCATTTATTTGTTTGAGTGAGACATCGTTGGAAATTCATAACCTAAAATGGCATGGGACAACTTTTTAAATAAATAGCTGAACAGATACACTTTTTGTGTTTGGATTGGATACAGATTGTCATGATCCTAGTGTTATTTCACGATTTTAGTTTTGTCTGTCTTGTTATGTTTTTTTTTTTGCAATTCTGTCTTTCCTGTCTCCCTGAGTCTCTCTGTCTCTGTCTCCCTGTTGGTCACGGTCAGTTTTTGTGTTGTAGCTACCTTGTGCTACCGTGCCGTGTTTTTGTTCATCAGCTTTTAAAATAAAGCTCGCTTTTTGTTCCTAGACCTTTTTACCTTTTTTGTATTCTGCATTTGGGTCCTACCTTTTTCGGTTCATTCTGTTAGAATGCGTGGACTGACTGACCGTGACCAACATGGAGGGAGATAGGAAAGACAGAATTGCAAAAATAAAACCCATAACAAGACAGACAAAACTAAAACTGTGACATAACACTAGGATCATGACACAGATTGGCTTTTCACTTTGCAAATCTCCCAGAAAAATGAAGATCAGGACGGAGCATATTCTGAAACAAGACAGGAAACGTTTTGCTTCAACATTGTTAACAGCAGTGCTTTACAGCTCAATTCATTCAGTTCTTCCATTTCAAAAATAAAAGCCAGACACATAGACATTGCATTATTATAGGAAAGCATTTCACTACTCAACAAATGACCCTAACATTCAACCAAATAATTCGCTCCTCAGGTAATAAAACAATTCTACCAAAAGCAAAAGACCCTTGTTTATAAAGGGGGTAAAGAAAGCAAAGAGTGATAACATGCGTTCCATTTACTAATCTAAATCAGTACATAACAAAAGCTGCCCTTTGTTTTTTTTATCATAAGCTAAGACTGGGTTTTTTAGGTAAAAGAAATATGTTTTATTCTTGTGGTGATTTCTTGCTTCTGACAGTAGCCAGGATGCAATCAGTAGGCAAGTTGCTGATGAAATATGAACAAGAAGATTGGTCTGCTTGTTACTATAAAAATCAACTAATACAAAATATGTAATAACCATCTCTGTTGTTGTTGTTGTTGTTGTTGGTAACTGAGGAAAATAGTAAGTGTTTGGTTGTCTTTGCGACAGCGGCACCAACAAACTGCACAGAAATTACACTGAGATGTTAAAGATTACAAGACAACATATTTAGTTCATGATATTTGAAGTCTTGTACCTAAATCTAAATCTTGAAAATGTTCCATATTTTTCAAATCAAATGTAATTAAACCCTATTTGGAATCCCAGGTGCAAGATTAACTCATATTGAGATGACATCTCACTTATTGTATGCCCACTACTCAGTGGTCATGACACTTAATCCCTTCTCATTTTTCAAAGTCTAGATGTTTCACGTCAGAGTTTTAAAAACGAATTAATATGTGATTTTATTTGTATTCTGATATTAATTTCATTTATACTTAATCTATGTATTTTTGTTTTATTATTTACTTTGTGTTTTTGTGATTATATGCTGCTGGTTAATTAACTTGCTCTCTGTGTATTTCTGTGTAAAACAGTTTGTAACTATGTTTTGAAAGGTGCTATAAATAAAGTGTATTATTATATCTTTACTGAGAATTATTATCGTAATTAAGTATGACAAATATTTTCCCGAAACAGCGTGATTCTCTTCCACTGTGTATATTTTTCCTGCGGACCTTTATTAAGGTGCAGAATAAAAACGTCTCATTAAAAATAATTAAAGTATTGTGTGTTAGTTATGTGTGCACTCTCTAAGTTTTGAGCTAGAAGAAGTTTACTCTGATCTTTTACTCTCTCACCAGTTCGCCCTTGCCTTTTTCCTAAGACATACAGTGTAGGGTTTTGCATGGTGTGATTTAACCTGTTTTCCCTTAAAACAACATTCAATGCTGTGTGAAAATATTCAGCATGTAACCAATGGCAACATCCTGGATCTGATTATGTCCTGGATCAGTTACAGTACTGTATGTACACATCATTTGATATATGGCTTTTCAACAGTAATTTTGTCACTGGCCATTTCAGATAACATGTAAAGTATAGTAATGACTGGGACATTTTCATCATGATTATAACAAGGCATGTTGAGTTACAGCAAACAAAAACCAAAGCTGCGGAGATTCTGGTTTTAACAGTTTTTTGTGCTTTGACTGTTTTCTAAAACAGATGAAAAATGGCTGTATGATCTGTATTGTGCACCGTAGTTTCACGTCAGAGGACATTTGATATACCGACGACTCATTGTTGGAGCCAACCAATAACCATTCAAGAACAAGGCATAAAATAATCCAAACCATGTCACAACCTTAGAGTAATATCCAGCAATATGAACCATGCTATCATTATGTTTAATCATGGGGGCATTGCAAACCTTTAAAGGTCACCTATTATGCAAAATGCACGTTTTCATTTATTTTATACATAAACATGTGTCCCCTCTGTGTAAAGAGATTCTGAAAAATATAAAAACGTCATAAAGTGGCCAAAAAACGTGATTTTGGCCACTTTATGATGTCATAACGACCTTTTTGGGTTGTGTAACCATTAGCCAATAACCAACCAAGGTAACCCCCCCCCCACCTTATCACCTGAATCTCCTCCTAGCACCATTGTGTTCTTTTTAACCAAATATCTCTCATGCGGCTTTCACACCAGCGCTTTTCCCTTTCTAGCTCCGAGCTAGAGCTTTTCTGGTTCAGCTCCGGTTTCCCTTTTCTGCTCCCGCTCTGTTCACACCGCCCAGAGCCCGACTGGGCAGCCGCTGCTGCGTCATGACGTCACCGTTTACATCGCTGATTTGCTCCCCAACGGCGCTCACAACAACAACAACGGGGGACTGTGTCGGGTTGATGATCGTGCTGCTTTTAATCATACGAAGTCAGATTAAATAAAATAACGACTTCTCCAAGCTTATACTTTTCTCCAGAGTGCCGTGGTTCATTGTTTATTAATGTGTTTCAGCGGCATTTACCGACCGCTGCAGTGCTGGCTGCTCTTCCACGGGAGTTTATTCTCNCCTTATCACCTGAATCTCCTCCTAGCACCATTGTGTTCTTTTTAACCAAATATCTCTCATGCGGCTTTCACACCAGCGCTTTTCCCTTTCTAGCTCCGAGCTAGAGCTAGAGGATGGTGCTGCCGCTGCTGCGTCATGACGTCACCGTTTACATCGCTGATTTGTCCCCCAACGACGCTCACAACAACAACAACAACAACGGGGGACTGCGTCGGGTCGATGGTCGTGTTGCTTTTAAAGCATAGCCAGATTAAATTAAATAACCACTTCTCCAACCTTATACTTTTCAACCTGTGGAGCCCATGTATGGATTCCATCCGATAGCTGCTATAATAAAAAACAAAATGTCTGCCTGCTCTCCAGAATGATCAATAGCAGTGAACGGATGGTCAAAGTAAGGTGCAAATAAACAGAATCACACGGAGCCTGGTTAGTGTTGCCTGACTTTATAAAGTGTGTGGTTGCCTTCTAGTCACTTTGCTCAGCGCGACTGCTTGTAGGCAGGCATGACGAGACTCTTCAGTCGACCCATGTTCAGGGGAGGTGGGTTTAGTTTCCTGCACGCCTAGACGTAAGCGACGCCGCCTCTTAGCTCCGAAGCTCTTGCCTCTAGACCGACAATTTTTTGGAGCTGGAAGTGAACCGGATTCCGGAGCTAAGAGCAGCGCCTCTGCAATGTGAACAGGAAAAAACGGTACTTTTCAGGCTCTAGCTCCGAGCCGGCGCTGAAAACGTGTTGGTGTGAAAGGGCAGTGGGGCGTGGCTCCTTATTTTCATCTAAAGTAACAGACAGAGAATCAGCACTTTTGAAACAGGGCTGAAACAGAGGGGATTATGGGATGCTGCAATGATCTGTTTGGTGTTTGGAGCCAAACACTTCAGAGACATGTTTTGTATATATCTGAGACCTATCATATATTGATGAAAAGCAGTATAATAGGGGACCTTTAAACACTTCAACATGGCCTGAACCATCAGCCCAGATCTGAGAGCTGCATTAGGATTAAGCTTATGAACCTAATTCATGACTCCTATTTATATAAGAATCATTGTTGGTATCATATTGACAGTAACCAGTCAAAAATGTTGTGCAATAATGCAGAATTACACTTTTTTAAATGCTGTTTATGTATGAAAGTAAAGGCTTAATGTAAGTAATATTGACGGCAGTAGTGCTTTTATTATTATAGAATACATGTTCATAAATAGCATTGGTTGCTTTGTGGTTTGTAAAATGCTTTAATAATAATGTGGAATGATGGAATCAAAAGAGACAGAGTAAGACTCAAAGCAGGTTATTTATATACATCCAACCATGATAAAAAATGCAGATCTACTCAGATCTGCATCTGAGCATTATGTCATTAAAAGTTGAGCTTCTATTAAACGATGTGTGGACCCTCCAAGCCGTCACAAGTGATTTGGGTTGTTTCATTCTTCGAGCGCAGCTGGCTGGAGCTATATATTTGCTGATATTGGTCAAACCGACAGCAAATTTCCCTTGAGTGTTCAAATGCAATTTTATGTGTGAGCTAGTCGTGGCAAGGATGTGAAAAAAATATTCTGACAATACATAGATGTGTGAACAGTAGCAAGCTCATTTCACAAGCACACAAAACCAAACATTAACACAAACAAAAACATGTACGCCGAATGCATGCTCCGTCGGTTCTCCTATGATGTATTATTCAAAGAATGATTCTCTGTGTTTGGGTTGAGAGAGCAAACACTGACTGACATCCAAAGAAGCATACGGCACCAAAGAACACCTCACAAATAGCCAGAATAATCTGATCCGCGTTTTGATAGTGTTGTCATCTGTCAGTATAACATATTTCACATGACATTCAAACGCAGTCATCGCTCTGCACTAAAGCACCCTGCTTACTCCTTAGCACAATCCCAAAACACTGCCAGGACTGAACACCTCTGTACTCACGTCCCAATTATCCGGGCCCTCTGTAGAAACACACAATGCCTATAGCATCCTGCGTAATATCCCGCGTGGCTTCATTAAAGTCAAACAAACTGCCTGAATGTTTTATGTCCCGCTCTCCTCAGCCTCTCCAAGTGCACGGCTCCTTTTCTCTTACTCGTGTTGGCTGTATCTTCACAAAGCCATTTCTCCCAATGTTACTCTTCTCTTGTTGTAAGGTACAACTTCACTTTCTTCATCACACTGTCACGCTGTAGTTTGGTTTTCTATTACATTGGGTCACGGTTCACTGTCCGTGGATCATGTATCTGATAACAGCCCACTTCAAAGGTTGCTGTCAGCATTTCTGTCACAACAGTAGTGACTCAAAAAGTAAGAGTAACGTAACAAGTCAGAAACGAAACATGTGTTTATAAAATTTAATTAATCAACAAGCTAAGTGATTGATTATTTAACAATTTGTCAACATTTTCATGTGGAATATTGTTCATCTGTTGTATTAGTGCGTCTTCGGCACTAGACCGAGACTTCAGAGTTGGAGGTAGATTTATTTATCTTAACAATATCATCTGACATTTGCTCTACTGAATATGCAACAGCCGTTTCAGTGCGGGACCATGACGTATGACTATGTGCTCAAAATAAATCCAGACAATCAGTTATACATAGGTTATTAACTGGAGCCAGATCATTATAGGCGTAGGAGCTGCAACAGCTTCCAAACCATCATTTAATCATTGCTTAATGCTATGAGACCTACAACATATCCTTATTCCTAGGGATACAATTATATGAGGAAGGACTTTTTTAGGATTAAAAGAGGCCAATAAAAAGTAAAGCAATAGGTTCTGGGTTTTCAGAACGACCATACAATGTACAGTATTTGTGTGATGGTACAGCATGAAGGTTATCTTCTCATAGCCTGAGTAGGAGCAGACTTCGCTGTATCAACGTTCACTGCTTTTCTTTTCATTTCACAATACTTCGTTTTTGATCAGAGGTATTCAAACATGTCAAAATGAGAGACTGCATTTTCAAGCTTAGTTCAATTTCGGGGGGGATAATATAACTGTAAAAAATACTGTTGAGTGTTAAGCTAAATGATACATCAAATCTTCATCTTGACAGCAGAGTGATTTGCATAAGACGAGGTAAAGAGAAAGCATCAGTGCATTAAGTCATCAAAATATTAACGTGCCATTGTAGCCTCAGCTTTGAGAATGACACAACTAAACGTTAAAGGTCACCTATTGTGCAAAATCCACTTGTTCATGTCTTTTCTACATAAACATGTGTCCCCTCTGTGTAAAGAGATTCTGAAAGTTTCAGGAAAAAATATGCTCTCACTTTTTGTCCTGATCCATTTCTATAAAAACCTGTCTGAAAATGAGCTGATCAGATTTTGGCCACTTTGTGATGTCATAACGACTTTTTTGGCTTGTGTAACCATTAGCCAATCACCAACCAAGGTAACCCCAGACAGACAGAGAATCAGCACTTTTGAAACAGGGCTGAAACAGAGGGGATTATGGGATGCTTGGTATTTCGAGTCAAACATTTCAGAGACATCATTTGTATATATCTGAGACCTATAATATATTGAAGTAAAATAGTGGACCTTTAAAACGGAGATGGCACAGTGGATTAGATCAAATAGATTGATAGATGTGTGTGACATCACTTAATGGTTCAGAAATAAACGTTACTGTCACATTATTATATTTCATTAAACCATCAACTACAAATAATAATGTTATTTGGAAGTAAACTTCAATCCAACAATTGAAAGCCACCACAAACAAGACAATAACGTGTATATATAATTCAGACTGTGTGTTCTGCATGTGTCCTGTGACTGCACTTTACCTGGATCCATGGCCATCTGTCATTTTCGGCAGCCGTCCAGGCATTCACCAGTCCTTTCTTGTTGAGGCGAGAAAAGTACGGGTACCACTTCTGCAAGCCGAAGAGAGCGCGGTGGGTGGAAGAGGCTGTTATCTGTTGGTTGGAGATTATACCGCCCTCCATACCGAGAGGTCCAGAGCATCCTGAGTGAAGAGAGAGAGAGAGAAAGAGATGAGCCTTCATGTCATTTCATCACTCAGAATTGTGTGAAACCCAGTCTGTGCGATGCTTATAGATTTCTTAAAATACCACAATGTCCGCATTTTTTCTATGTCAGTGACTTTGAACTCCAATACAGTTTTTAATTAATCTCCTCAATGTCAGAGTTGATAGCTGTCTAACTCCACTTGTAAAGTATCAGGTATGGTCATTAAAACAGAAACTTTTTCTCCACTCTCCTGTTCTTTGTGAAGACTTCTCACTAAGTCCTTGTCTTTGAGGTCGTCATTGATTTGTCCAGCATGACTCCTGTCTCTCTTATTATTAAGAGACGCTCTCGTCACCTCAGTCAACAAGATGACTAGTCTCTGTCCTTATGCTGTCCACACCTGAGGGACAGGTGGCTCCTTTATCTTTTCCATTAGTAACAGAGTCCTTAGGCTTTCACCCAAGCAGCTGGGACTGGATAGCATCGACCCCAAACTCATCCATATTTGTTAGAGCTTTAAACACCTTACAGGCTGCAGTATCAAGGTATGAGAGCATTATCATTAGACAGAAACACTAGCCTTACGTCTTCAAGAATTTTTTTTAACCTCTCAATCCTTATCACATTCAGAGAATTTGAGACATTGAGGGTTCTGGGAATGTAAATCGAATAGACTATTAATTTTGCTTTTTTTATATTTCAACAATTGCAAAACATTCAAAAACAAGGTTTGCACTGTACCCTTCATAATATTTTCTTATTGTTGATTTACACATAAACCATCTGCCATTTCTATGAAAACTGTCCTTAGTTTGGATTGCATGAGGAGGGTGAAAAACATGCACATTCTTTTGCTTTTATTCATCAGTTAATTGAAGACTCAGGTGTGCAAGGAAAATATCTTCAACGGTTCAACTGGGGTTGAATTGATGTTTCAAACGGCTGTGCTGTATAACCATCAAAGATAAATCAGATGTGACTGGAGAATCTTTCAGACCGCACAGTTTCAGTGTTGTGTAACTCAGATGTTGCTCTTCATCGGTTATAATTCAACACTTAAGTGGTAATATGCAACATGAACACTTTAAAGAGTCTCAGAAATTGCTTTTCGATGTTGTGAAATTTAAAGATAAACCAAACGGCTGAGATGTGACACAAAGTTTGTTGGAATTTTGGATGCAAACCCCTGCATCATTACATTTCTTCATGCCCATAGTGCCTCACAAAAATAAGCAGCATCACAGCTGCACAGTTTGTGTGTAGGTTGTGACAGATTCTAAAGTTTTAATTAGTCCCTAACTCAAGCAAGTAGTAGACATAAATGCAAGGATTGATAGCCCCGCATTGCATGATTGTAAATATGATTCTTAATATTTATAATTTGCAATTAATACTGTGTTATGCAAAATAAGACATGTGCCAGTGAAGATTAGCTAACACCAGCTAAAAACTTGAACAGGTCTAAAGAACATTAAGAGGAGTCACTGCTCATCGTATGGCAGTGTGTCCTTCACAGAGCAATTATCTGAAATTGCAGAAAGGGATATTTTGTTCTCCATTAGAGTTGAAAGTCATGAGGTTAAGTATAAACCTGAAGTGTTTAGCAAAATGGAATATATTCCCCAGTGCTTCTCTTATGTGTCAGCAAATGGATGGGACGGTTGGAGGTACTGGTGTGTGTTTTTATTTCACGCTGTTATGGCTCTTAACATTTTCTAAATGGAACGAGGGTTAGGTATTACGGAGAGAACAATGTTATTATTGATGCCCAAATTGCACATTGAATTGAACAGGACAATCACATTCAGTTTATGATGACAAAATGTGACATGTATTTTACTCTGGTCTTGGTTTTATTTCTAATGACAACAGGGATAAAATAATAGAGTAACAAAACAGAGGATATCAATATTTGATTGCACTGAAAAGTGGTACAAATGTAATCCACTCATTCATTTTTGTTAGCATAGGCTCTGGCTTCAGATGATAATAGCTGTGTTCAAGAGGCTAGAAAACCACAAGTGTTGGGAATGCTGAGTCAACTTGGAAGTGTTCCAAAAGAATGAGGACACATCAAGCACAAAGTTCAGCCAGAGGCACTGCTCGCTCATGCCAGCTGAACTGTAAGTGTCCGTGTAAAGCAGCCTTCAGGGAAAGCCTGGAGCAGCAGTCACACGGAGGCTGTGATGCCTTCACAATTTAAACAAATCACCTAAGCATTTCAAACCCAGGGCTGACACATAGACGGATGAGACACACACACACACACACACACACACACACACACACACACACACACACACACACACACACACACACACACACATTTAAGTGGCAGGCTTGAAAGAAGACTTTCAGCACAGAAGAAAGCCAAGAGTCAGAGAAGAATGGAACAATGAAAACAACCTTAGCACAATGTATCCAGCTGCTAAAACAGTGGGGCTCTAGGCAACAGAGAGGCAGGGAGACAGTGAGTAATGTCTGAGGATGGTCCAGGGGGATCGAATGGAGGCTGGGCGAGAGCAATGACTATATCTGTGTGTGTTTGCACTGACAGAGATGTGTTTATATATTCCACTATGGTAAATCCCTCTTGCTTTGCTAGTTCTTCCTCGTGTGTGACTCATCGCTTCCAAACCGATGAGGGGATGGTGTAGGTGGATGCGGTAACATAATGCTGAAGCTTTATATTTTCCATTATATTTTAGATAGACTACACTCATTCCTTCTAACACGTCAGAAAAAGAACAAGCAGCTTCCATTTGACACGTGGTAAACCAATTTAAACCCATGACTCAGAAAGATTGGGGAATCTTTTATTAGTCTAGGTCGGACTTTCCAAAATGACCATTGTGATCGATATACAGTATGATATCAGTTGCATTTTAACATTTTATATCTAATCCTATTCATTCAGACACCATAAGAATATGTCTTTACTGGTGTTTTTTCTCTTTTTAACAGGGAATAAAAAGAAGATCCATCTTTCAGGAAGCTTATCTTAAAAATCCAAAGTCAAATGTATAGTATAAAGAGAAAACGATGGACAAATGGATTTCTCCTGAAAAATATATATAAATCCTTAAAATAGTCTTTGAAGATATTTCAGTCTGGACTAAAGTGATGTACCAACCGACAGACCAAAAGCTATGTCGTTAGCACGCCTTTAATGGATTCCAGGCTAAAGAGTGTGAATTGAGTTGTTGAATCGTCACACCGGCTGTGAATAATGTAGAGGGTGCAAATAAATACAAACAGCAATACAACATGTTTAGTTGAACCTGACTTTCAATTTGTAAGGGACCCTGTGGATTTACACACGCTAATCTGGCACATTCACCTGATGCCATATCACGCTGATGCAACTGTTGAGTTTAAAACATAATCAAATGTTCCTTATTACGACATGACGTTGGTACCGAGGTGCAATGTTGCGTCATCACAGTACCGTATTTGTCGAGACCTAGTACCTGTTGAAGGGTATTCTATATGCAAGATGTGTTAAGACACTGTTGCAGAGTCCCAGCCCATCTCACCTTGTGGCCATGAAGGGCCACTCTTAACGAGCCGCCTGCCAGCCGTCCGTCAGAGGCAGCGGGCCCCGGGGCCTTGGCCTGCTGGCCCCTGAGCATACATCAGCCCTACGACAGCACACATCACTAACACCAGCACTACGCTGATGTGACAGCTGAATCCATCTCCCACAAGCCCTACCTACAGCCTAAACAAATTAGAGCCCCACTGAATGTAATGCCAGTACACCAATACTAATGAGCATGCGGCGGAAATAATGGATGAGAAAGAATGATAAACACAGAAAACTGAAATCAGTAATGGATGTTCCACAGGTGACGATTGAGACTGGATTAATTAATTCTATATGTATTATATGGGTGTGTCATTATGTGAAGTTATAGTGGAAAATATACTTGTCACTACTCTCTGGTGAACTAGAATGGTGAGATTGTATCCATATATATCTTATTTGGTGTGTATGTACTTAATATAAGTATTTGGTCTCTACCTACTAACACAAATATGGTATAACTGCTGTGTAGTACAATGGATTATTAATGAAGTCTGCATTAGGGGTGTAAATGATATCATAATGAATAGGATGAGATATATATTTGTTTCTTTGTTTTCTTGACCATAAGAAAACAAGGGGTTCCCTTAATTAAAATAAACCACATTGTTAACGTATGTTTCATACTAATTAACAAATACATAATCAATCACTGTACTATGTCTGCTACATTTGATAGTTTTAGTAATGCAATACATTCTCTAGCATATGAGTTTTCCGGGTCAGAATCAGTGACACATTGTGCAGAAAGATTTGTCACTGTAAATAGAGCTTAAAGTAACGATGATACATCTCAGATTTCAACAAAAGGTGGCGATGAAAACAGATCATTTGCAATAAACCGCCAAAGCTTCAAGCTCTGGGGTGTATTTGTTACAGGGCTATTGGGTTTTATTTGTGTTCCAGGGTGTTAGTAAGTTAGAGAAAAACTTGGAAGAACTTAAATCGATTTAGATTCCACTCTGAGCAGATGGTTTCATAATCATCTTGGCCCTAGGATTCTTTTGGAAACCAGGGGTCCTCACATTTCCTCAGAATTGGATATTTTACTGACCATTCAACCCATAATAATGTCTGGAAAAGTGAATGTCTCTGCTCGAATCAACAGTAACAATCCTCAATTAGCTTTAACAGAAAGGCTGAGGCAGCATGGGCCAATCGTTATCTCACTGTATTTGATGTCTTCTAATATATTCCACTGGCATTTAGGTTGGCCAGGTACAGACATGATTTTATTATTCACTACTAACTTTCCATTGGACCACGGGAATCAATATTGAATGCACTGAAATTGGATATTACCAAACAGACATGCAATGGCCAAAATGTCACAGCTGCCTTTACATAATATTACGACGCTCTCTTCTGGTATGGCCAAAAAACGTAAAGCTGCTCAATCTGCAACAGCAACAGTTCTTGCCCACACATAACGTGGGATGAAAAAATAAGTCAGAGGAGATTTTGAGGCCGTGCATAGGAGTATATTTCAGCCATTTTACCATTTGTATGCATATTCATTGGGGACCCCACTGACTTCTGATTAGACTGCTACATCATTATCAAATAATGTTTGATGAAGCATATATGTTGATTTTCACATGTATACATACATTTAGAGACATATCACAAACCCCTTCCTGTTCATGGTTATACCATTTAATTTAAAAGTATTAGGACTGAGGTTTGTTAAGTTATATTTAAGTGCACTGGATATCCAATTAAGAAATAAACAAAACGTGACCATAGTGCTGGCTTTTAGCTTTAAGAGTGTTTAGTGAATTCACATCTATTTTCATCCTTTGGGAATTTGGACAAAAACAGGCTATTGTTCTACATTCCTTCATGGGTTACTTGTTATTGTTGTAAACACCACCTAATTAAAGCAGAGAGTATTCACTTTCACCTCATGGAAATTGTTTGATTTCAAATCTAATATGTTGAAGTCAGACCTAAAACTAAATATTCTAATGCATTTAAACTATGGCTTGTTGAGTCCATGTTTCCATAATATGCTTTATAAATAATTAATCCATATGGGAACAATGAAAATGAGCAACATTTAACAAACGATGGAGCCTAGCATATGTTCAAACCCTTGATCTTTCTCCTCAAGTGTGTCACTCACTCACTACCCAAGCTTTATCAATCAGGCTGCAATACAAGCTTTAGCAACTTCCAAGTCTGCATCTCTTTCCGATGCAGACTTGTTCCTGAAACTCCTGAGTCAGTTACCGAACGGCTGTGCTACACCTCAGATAGAAGATCTGATGAATTAATTTGTGAGCAGCAGTGCAGGGATGGCTAAGGGTTCTGAGTCCACTGATACATTAATCCTAATATGTTCCCAGAGTGAGCGAGAAAATCCCTGCAATAGCATAATAAACACATGAAGCCACTCTAAGCTCTCAGGCGTCTTGCAAAAGAAGTGATAAGGAGCTCTCTTTCGTTCTACACAGCCACTGGGCAAAAATAATGAAATGAGGGCTTGCAAGAACAAAGTGGCCGTGACTTCTCAGTATTCAAATGCTCAACTTATTTGTTTTGTTATTATTACGCTTTAAGGTTTATTGTTTTTCTCTGAACATGCAGAAATGCATTGTTGTTCTAGTTGTTGATGTTTTCTAATTAACCAGCGGAAAAAAGTATGCCCTTATTTCAGAAAATATTAACATTTTGTGGAATGTGAAGACTTATGATTTTCAAATTAAAAACACAATAATAATTACCATCCTGCGCTAGTCATAGTTGAAAATATACAGGGAGAATTTCAGTTTATGTGTTCAAGCCTTTGAATCCGTCTCTCCTGTAAAAGAGGATCGAATCATACCCCATATGGTGTATTTTCAGATATAATGAGGTGAGAATTATTGAAGCATTCCAGATGTTTCCCTACTCCCTACTTTCCCTTTTTTCTTTACAACAAAAACCCTGAACTTACAAAAGCTGTATGACAGACTTATGTATAACGTCTGTTACAGTTGTGAATGAGATCAATTGTTGGCTATAAGTAAACCAATAAAGCAAAATAATGTCCTTCACACTTAATAAACTTGTATAAGCTTTAACATTTTTTAATCAAAGGTCAGCAAAAGCCTGCTCAGATGTTCTTCATGGGAATTAACGGCAAGCTGTCTGGTTTGTGTGTGCTGTTTTAAAAAGAAGAGTTCAAAGACAAACATTAAAAAAAGAAACACAAGCACTTACTGTATTGACAGTTCCTGCCCATGTACTCCCCTGGGCAGTCGCAGGAATAGTTGGCAACCAGATCTGTGCAAATTCCCCCATTCTTGCACGGTTCCCTTTCGCATTCGTTAATATCTGTAAGAGAAAAAAAAGGGACATTCATTTATTTGAAGGAGACACATAGGCAATTAAAAATACCTCATCCTCATTAGAATGCAATGGTTGGGAGCATATATTGAATTTTCCCCATGTGCTACTTGATTCTGTCGGCCCGTAGAAGCTCTTACAAAGACTAATAAATCAAAGAAATCCCCAGGAGACCATTAATGCAAGAACAGAGTAGTTTTGAAAATGTTAAGAAGAACTAACCTAGTGTACTTTCTCTGTAGTGTAAATACAGTAAGTATCATTTTTCACAGTGTATCATTTTTGCTAAATTCTACAACTTGCACTCATGTTACAATAGGCTTGGTAAATATCCTCAGTTTTTTCATTAAAGTATCAGAGACACAAAGAACGAGAGATCAGACAGTCAACATGGTAAATTGTCGCAGAATCCTCATCCATTGTGCAGCGATCTGTGCTCTGTAATTGCTCTTCTCTGATTGTTTCATCCAACCAATTACAGGAGGCGAGAGACCCACAACCCCACCCATCCCAACCATTTGCACTCTGTTCTATTAAATTAAGGGAAATGGGATTACAGGGATAGTTAACGGGAGAGGGAGGTAGAGAGTTACCATTTTTAACAGTTTTGATCCAATTTCTAATTATTTCCAAACTTGCCTATGGCTTCTATAAGACTTTTAATCCTCTAAATGTAACCCGACTGTGATTCATTGGTTCATTTTGGCTTTGTGAATATGTAACTAGGCTTGAGATTTGGAAAGTTAAATAAAACAAAGTATGATTAAAATAGCTCTCTCACAGTGATGAATTGTTCTGAAATGTTATCTATAATAGAATAGTTACTTGGACACAATTCTAATAATTCCAAATATATAATTTGTTAAGTGAATGAAAACATTCATGGTGTTCACACATAATGGTCTCGGAGTATCTTTAATCTGCAGCAGAACATTTAAATACATTGAGTGAAATAAAAGAAAGGGAGGGAGACAGAGAAAGGAATGAGACATGGTTTGTAACTCAACCAAAAATCCATGGGGGACTTTCACCCTGTATTTGGGTGAAAAGATTAAATTGAGCTGTTAAACCTTTCCCAAGAGCTGATAACAGAAGTTGTGCAAGATGAATTTCAAAAACACATCTATTGTTTTTATTTGTCTGGAATGCATAGGGTAATATTCTGCTTATTTGTCTGTCTGGACGTGTATAATTGTCTCTATAGGTATAATCTTGAATCCCATTTTACAGTGTTTTCATTTTATTTTTCATTGGGAGCAGACTGCCGGTACACCCAACATATTGGCAGCAGATACAGACGGGTCTGCATAGGTCTGCAGTTCGATCCCCAGCCCCTGCAGTCAACATTTTGAGCAAATACTCTAACCCAAATTGCTCAAGTTGGCTATTGGAGTGTATGTACAGTAAGTGGCTTTGCTTGAAGCTAAATAACATGTAATGTAATACTACTATTTGTTAAGGCATTTGAATGGAACATTGTAGGTGATAGTCAAAGGAACTGCTCCTGAAGTGCAGCAAAAAACCCAAATCCTTGACTGCCACGGAACTTAACGTGTGTATTTCAGCACTTAAAGGCTATACAGAAAAAAACTAGAGAGTTGATTTGGTAGTAATAGCACTTCTTTCAAAAGACTGACTGCTTAGACACAAAACTATGCTGGACACAAAGTAGATAATTCAAACTGCAGGGGCCACTCATCTTTAATTATACATAATGGAAAGAGGGAATTATACCAGAGAGAAGTGACACATATTCAACCACTAAATGTGCCTGTCAAGCTGTGAAGATGAGAGGCACATTTTTACGACAGGTTCATTTTTGCCTTTGTTTTATTTAAAATATGGTTAGTGATCGTCTATTCATCCGTTTGTGTATGTCTGCGTGTAGCTGTTTTTAATGATCTGTTTCCCAATAAATGTTCTTAGCCATTTCATAAAGGCAGTAAGATACTAATGCAAATGTGTTGTACGGGCACCATGTTCCTAAAATTGCCTCATAGTTGAATATAAATTGCTTACAGCATGCTGCGATCAATTAAATTATTTCCATTGCATTTCAATCAAGAAGACTCAACCTATATGAAAGACTGGAGTGATACAAATCAATAACATGGAATGGGGCTTAAAACTGAACCTCATAGAGAAGAAAAGAATATGGAAAAATACTCCATATACTGTAGGTTATACCCTAACAGGATAATAACCTCATTCAACCCCACTACGAATCATCGTAACCTTTAAATAAACATAAATGATATGATGTTGCTGTAGATTTTAGCTAAGAAATCTACAATTTGTGGAAAGTTAGGCGCACACTACAGTATATGACCTTGAATGTGAAAGGAGTTAGAAGCCAAGAAAATAACAGGAGTATATCCAAAAATCCATTAAACTTGAAGGGTCCTGGTGTGAGAGAGGTTGGGTACAGGTCACCAGTCAATTACAGGGCAGAAATGAACAGTAGCACAAAAACATTCCTCAGCTCATTCTGCACACGGCTCAATGCACTGTTGTTTTACCAATGCAATCATTCCACTTAGATATGTGATGTTACCCTTTAAGGTTATATCCTGTTTTGAAGCAACCATGTAGGTTCAAATACATAGGTGAGCCAAATGGGCCGGCCATTCAAATAGCCTGGAGCGCAACATGCTACTGCAGGCTATTTGAGAGTGGAAAACACAGCTAGCCCATCTCACGCTTTGCTTTGCTTTTATGTGAGGCCATCAGCCCCTGGGAGATCGGTGCAGGGAAAGTGAGACTTAAAAGTGGTGTGTTGCCTGTAAATCAGGTGGGAGAAAAGGGATCACTTCAGGGAATGCAGTTAATTCAACCGATAAATACCAGAGAAGAAAGGTGATGAGAAGCGAGAAAAGGAACTGAGAGACAGAAAACAGGAAAAGATAAAGAGAGAGAGAGAGAGAGAGAGAGGGTGGAATACATGTACAGTGAGAAAGGTGTGCTAGCCCAGTGGTCAGGTAAATACAATGTTTACACAACTTCTTTAACACACACAGGCATGCATCAGAGGAGTGCCCCTCACTTATAATAGTTAGTCTGCCATTCTGCAATTAAATAGGTCAATTAATTAAGCGTTATTTTAAAACATAATTTGGATTTAACAAGCCAGTTTGCGTAAAGAGCAGATGGAGGCATAAAACTACAAGGTGTGCACTTATAATGTCCTGAAATAATACTACTTTAATGAGGGTTATAATGTTCAATTTTGTTGAAATGTTGCCAGGATGATGCTTATTCAACTGAGACTAGATTTAGTGGCAAAACATTGGATTGCAATACACAAGGTAATCATGTTTTGTCCAATCATTTTACATACAGTGCTGGACTAATTTGGCTTACAATGCAGAGTCATTGGCAACAGAGACATTATAGAGGTACTTGAAGAGCTTATATTTGATACATATAATTATAATGTACTTATCCTGTCAATCATATCAATATTCATTCATTAATACATAGAAAGCATTTCAGTTTGAATGTACATCTATACCTGAATATACATCTATACCTGTCATCATTAACATCACTAAGGATGTCCTTGCCCCTTGCATAAAAGTGCTTCCCTGGTCCCTCGATCGTCTCGCTCCTTGGCTTTGCTCCTCTACTGCTCTCTAAAAGGCGTCTCAGTCAGACATTAGTAAGAGCAATGAATAGTGCTATGTGTCAGGAACTAGCAAAGGCTGTGAGCGCTAAATTGGCTTCAGTGTGTCCAGCGAGCAGGAACAGGGGGGGGGGGTTGGTGGGGGTCACCTGCGCCCTCTCCGCTGGGCTGCATTGACCTCTGCAGCGCCGGCCACCTGCCACAGCCACACAGACACACAGGCCAGATAATCTACTTTCCAGTGCATTAACAGTATTGTGTCAAATCTTGTACAAAGGAAGGAAATATGCCAAAACGTTAAAGCCCAAATCCAAAATTCAAAAAAAGAAATACTGTAACAACAATTACAAACAAACAATAGCTATATGCATGTCCTCTATTCAGCAGCATTGTTGTATTTAAATTTAAATTTCATTCACAGAGCTAATTTAAATTATAATAAACATTTAAATTTGAGCTAGACTTACAGTTGCATTAGGAAGCCTAAGCTGGTCCCAAACAACAACATAAATCAAACAAATGGAATAAATGCCTCCTAATAGCTTAGTAATCCTCTCACACTAGTAAAGCCCCCAAACTTAATTAGCAGGATGAGAGGTAATGTCCCAGCAGCATTGCCCCTACATCTCACCCACTCACTTCATTAAATTACAGTCAGATGTTAGGTAAACCTGAGTAAAGCCTTCTTTCTCCTCTGCCAAGACACTGTAAGCCACACAATTGGAGGTTAGTCAAGACTTTGCATTCATGTGGAGACGTCTCATTGAGTTACATCTCTCCATCTGGTCTCAGTTTAGCCGTCATGCACACTTTCCCCTCGGGAAGTTTCATCTCATCTTATCTGTTTTTGTGACACAGAGCCAGTGAACCAGCGTGTTTGGTAAGCAAGTCTGTCCTCTTGAACTCTCTATCTAGGAAAGGCATAACGGTTTGAACTCTGCGGTCATTGATCGACAGGAATGAAGTGAACAACCGGTTGTTTATGCCTGCCACATAATTAACCTCTGACCTTGAGCATTCGTTCTTCGTTGGGAGTAGTCATCCTATTTTTGTTCATAGCGGATAGGGTTGCCCCTGGGGCAGGCTGCTGCTGATGCCCTATGATTCCTGTTGGAATACTGCAGATGTTGGATTTGATGGCGAAAAAATTGCAATCCACAGATAAAATGAATTTATCAGGGGAAGAAAAACAAAGGGCCAATGATTTACATGACTTGGGTGGCTGTCTGACCATGAAGAATGTATTCATTAGTTTATAAGCTATATGACAGAGGGTTTCATCAAGGAAAGGAGAGAAAATATGTATTAGAATGACCTGTCTGTGAGGACTTCAAGGACATGAAATAAAGCACTACTTTAAGGCTCATACATACTGAACATATTCTACAACACATGGCGTTATAGTCCAGTGATCACACAGACACATTTAAGGGAGCAGAACATTGCATATGATTAATTGTCATTTTATGCACATGGCAATATTGTTGTTACGGCCGCCGCCTCCCCGGTCCTGTTACCTCTGCTTTGCCTGTGTTATATGTAAATGAGCTGTGCGGTTGCAATGATGTCATTGGCTACCCGTCTCCTGGTCCGCCCCCGAAGATTGTGATTGGAGCATGCCGGGTCTGACGCGTTCCAATCCCAGCGCACATCCAGCGCACACCTTCAGGAGAGGACTACAAAGCCTGTGGACAACGATGGGTCGGAAGGCTCTGATGTGTGGACAGACGCCTCTCGCTACTTGCTCATCGTTTGTAGATTGACCTGTTAAACTGTGTGTAACTTGTGTGGTCCGTATTTAGTTTAATGTTGTTGTGATTAGATGTGTTTAGATTAGTTTAGCATTTACGTTGACTGTGGTCATTTAGCTTAGCTGTGTTTTCCTACAGCCTCCTTTTTGTTAGTTTGTACCACTTTAATACTGAGGGTCCTTTGGTTTGTTTCCGGCTGTGTGCCTTCCATTTCGTTAACCTGTTATTTAATAAACTCCTTATAATTATTACCAATTCCAACAGGTGTATGTTGCTTTCCTCTTCCCCTAGTGGGGACGTAACAATTGTAAACACATGTTTGATTACGGGGCTTCAGTTTTGATAACAACAAATATTATGGTAAAATACAATTGTTTTTAATTATTTGTATTGTTTTTGTTGTTTTGTTTCACCCTTTTTAATTTTGTAGCACTTTGAGTTTTGTTTACGCAAATGAAAAGTGCTCTTATAAATAAAATATATTATTATTATTATTATTATTATTATGGTGACCCATCTTACATTCCTTATCCATCCTATGATGCAATCCTCACACTGTTTCATCTCATTTGTTAGTATTACTTCTCACAACTCATTTGTGGATGTTATGATATACAGAGCCATCTGCTCACATCACAGGGGGAAATTGCCAAAACTACATTGCCATTAAAAGTAAGATAACTGCATTGTTTTCCCAGCTGCATTGCACCACGTCATGTCTACTATCTGCAGTTGTGTGTGCTTTATATACATTTTTCTCATGATTGAAGGCTCATACAAGCTTTATCATAGATGTACTACAAATGCATACACATATGTCACAAACAGTATCTAACCTAAATAGATTAGTCCCTGCCTACAGTATGTGCATTCCAGGATAGTTCTATAATAGCACTGTACTTTCAGAAATGCTGACTTTTCCTCAGTTCTGCTTCTTTTCGTATGGGCGATCAGCCTTGTATGCTGTGTTTGACAGGTCCTGGTGCATTGGAATGTGTCGAGTCCACACTACACAAGGCCGAGACAAGACCTGTCTCTCCAGGTTGAGTCAGAGAAAGAAGATGGAACATGGAAATGCCTGTCTTCGCTGTCAATCTTTTCTGTCAATCTATCCTTGACTTGCCCAAGTGACTATCCCCACATGCGACAGGATTCCTTTCTTGGGTCCCATCGAGTCCCAGAACCGGTTAAAATATATGTTTTTACACCAACCAAAGTATCCTTTTTTTCAAAGCTATATGACTAAGCCTCGGTCATATGTATCTAGGCATAGCATATACCGGTAGATTTTATTGATCTCATATGCAGGAATGTCTGAAAATAATTATTGGCATGTGCAGATTAGTCCAACAGTGGTACAACCCGTATGTTACAAGTGATATGATGATCCATGGAGGTTGAATTCAGGATTAAGAATACTGTTGCGAGACACTTTTTGAAGTGGGATTAGCCCAGTGAGTCATTATTCACAGCAGCAATCCTGGAGTCCTTGAAAAAGGTGTCTTAGGAGGGTTTGAGAGAAGAAAACACTCATCATTTCGAAGTCCTGAAGACCAGGGGGCTCTGCTGAAGCTGGGATGTGCAGAATAACACTTGGATCTTAGCCTTAAGTGTTATTTTAAGCTTACAGATTGAGCCTCCACAGCAAGTGTGAGAGGAATACTGATCTACCTGAACATTATCAGGGTACAATTGAGTTTAAGAAACATTAAAATGGCATGGGATGCAGAAAGATAGTTGGGGTAGATGATGGCTGTAGAGCAAGCACTTGCTTGATGTGGGGAATACTGAGAACAATAAGATGTCTTCTCTGAGGAGACCCCAATAATTGAGTATATTGTGTCTTAACACACAACAAATACAGCTGTGTAAGTTAGTTATTAGTTTTACAGGTATTAAGAATTGAGACATTAGACACAAATACATTTACCTTGTGGTGAAGCATCATCAAATGTAAGGGGATAGCCAAAGGTTTAAATGTTCACATTTCTAGGGACTATAAATGGTAGCGCCACATAAATTAGAAATCCATCCATAATAAGATTTGACCGACTACTATTCACATTCTAAACAAAGACTGTAAAACCATTATTATATTAAAGATGATAACACTCTAAAGCAGGGGTGGGGAACCTCCGGCCTCCGGGCCGTATACGGACCACGAGACCATTTGGTACGTCCCTCGAGGTAATTTATAAACACACAAAAAACAAAACAAGCGAGTGCCTGTTTTTCCTGGCTAAGGTCAGGGTCCTTGAACACAACAGCCTAACGTGTCATCACGTGGTATATGTCTGGTCTGACAGGGGTGTAGTGCTGACCGAGAGCACCAGGACGTCGCTCCGGCACTTCAGAAATGTCAGTACCCATAAGGAGCCGTGCCCATGCCGCAGTGCGTGGCTGTGTCTTTAGTTGTAATCCCAGTGGCGAGCCCAGTGGCGAGCTGCTCATCTGTCATACTACTGATCATACAGTCAATAACTTTGTTGTTATTAGCATCTTGTTAGCTAGCTATGCTAACGAATATAAGAAGCTTTTTCTACAATCAGTGAGAAAAGGCACATCTTTAAATGATCATTATAGTTATAAAAAAATAAGAGAATAAAGTACCCTCGGACCCCCCTAGAGGAGGTTAGGTCCCCGCCCCACTTAAATTATGTTCACATGGATAGGAAACTAAATACATTTGCACACATCTTGAGTCCATATCTTTCTCTTTTGGTGGTCATTGCACAACCGTGCAAATGACCTCATGGTAAGATATCTGGATTAAGAGGTTGCTTTTTCTTTGCACAGCATGAAAGAAAGGCCAAATGAATGGGCTGTGATTTTAGTATTTTTAAGCAGAGGTCAATCATTTGTACGGCCCTCGGAGGATGTTGAACAAATTGAAATGGCNTAATTTTTAAGCAGGAGGTACTAATACTATTTGGTACCGGCCCGTCGGGAGGATTGTTAG